TTCAGTATTGTCAGTCATGTGCAGTTTTTTTAACCTGCAGTCAGTATAACTCCCTGCTGAAGTGGGTGGAGCTGTAACTCAGTAAAAGAGTGTTTTTTCCAGGACTCACGAAACCTAGGTTCAGTCCCCTATACTGGCAAAAAATAAATAGAGCTCAAACTAAAGAAAAGCATATGGAAAAAAAAAATCCATAAATTTTCACTTCTAGAAATATATGGGTCTCACTGGTGCCTAGTTTGAATATCAGAAAGCTATTGGAATGAGTTCTTCCTTTCACTGTTCTAGAACTTAGGGCTTCTTGAATTCTTTTAGAACTCATGTTCATGTGACTAATGACATATGCGTGATATGAAATGCTCTTAAACGTTTGTACCATTCTGAAGGCTGTTGTCATGTTGTAACTAACACTAGCAAAGTTTATCTGAACTGTATTCTAGTCTATAGAACGGTCATGTGCTCCTGTGTGTACTAAATCCGTGTCTCTTTCATTTAGCTCTTTTGACTTTTTGTCTATTAAGATTATATTGTTATTTCAGTTTTCCATAAAGTTGCAGTAGACTTGTGTTCAAGTTTTCCTTTCCTCAAGCATAGCCTTAGACTTAGCTCCCTACTCAGCTGACACCTAGTCACTAACTGAAAGTAATGATGTGTTAGCTTGATGGAATAATAGTATTACTCTTGTAAAGAGAAAAGGCTTAATTCAAATCTTGTCTTGATTCTGTAATTAAACTGAATTAAACAAACACATCTACTTATATAATTTGTATATTTGGAAAAAATCTCTCTGTTCTCAGATTCCAGGTATCATGTGACTTACCCTGAATATCATAGTTTGAGTTCTTATTCTTAAGATTTTATAACCAATTTTACAAAACTTAAAGACATTATGTGCTCAAAATCTGAATTATTTTTGCTGATAGTCATGCAGTATTGTATAACTCATCACAGCAATATTTAGACTTTTTAATCTATTTTAATTTAGATTTTAGTGTTTTTTAAGCTTTTGTCTATAAACATTAAGAGAGACTTAACAAATGCAAATTTTCTTATGAATGAGTTTGTAAGTACATCCTAAAAGATTTTCAGTAGATTCTAATATAGGTTTCAAATCACTGCTCATCTTTTATATTGACACAAAGTTACCTAAGGCAGTCTAGCCTTGTCTGTCAGAGCTTAGATGTGGATTTGTTTGTGTGCACACCAAGGAATCAATCACACATGGCGGCTCACAACAACTCTCACTTATTTTCATCTACAAAGTAATTTTAGCTAAAAATAGCTCTGTTCATTTTTCTTGCCTAAATTTTAAAACCCAAACTAAAAGAGAAAAAGCATCTGAATAATGCCGAGCTAATCATATGTGGGGATCTTATGACTGAACCCATCAGTTTGGTCTACGGGTACAACTTAGCAGCAGAAGTCTTTCCAGTGTGCATGAGACTCGAGGTTTCCTCCTCAACACACATGCACACATTCACAGACACACATACGTGCACAAGCACACATATGCATGTACCACAAAACTGAAATAAAAAAAAATTAACCATCAGTTTGATTTTAGACTTTAAACTGTTAGCTAATAATAAATTTATAGAACTTCTCTAGTCAGAGTAAGTATTGTTGCAATTCCAACAATTCACAGTTAAGTGGAAACTTTGTTTACTAGATAGTGAAAATTCAGAATTTTCTCAAAATTAATTGTTCTGGTTTACGGAATACTTAATTTCTAAGCAAAACCGTAATTATTTGAAAGCTAATTTTGGGTATATACAGTACATCAATATATGTGTACTGGCATAGATGGCAGTGTGAAGGTGAGGAAATTAACTTCAGTTTGAAATAATGTAGTCAGAGCATTTGAGATAGATTAAGGAATGAATAGGCAGCATTTTGCCATCCAGAAAAAGTTTGCATAACTTGACAGAGAAACAGTGAGCAAGAAGGCATGATATCCAATAGGGAAAAAGACTTGATCAGTTTAGTTTTGTGGCACATATATACAGAGTAAAATGGAAAATGAAAGTAGATTATGAAATGTATTGATTTCTAGAGTAATAATTTAGAACTTACTTGCTAGGAAGGAATCACAGGAAATGTGTGAACAGTACTCTGGGGTTTCGTTCTCTTTATCATGTTACTCTGGCAGTTCATGTATGACTACATCTGATAAGGATGAGCTATTGATGAAAGATTGCTCACAGTTAGAAGGTATATAAATAGGGACGTCACCTTGAGCTTTTAGAAGACAGGACATTGAGAGACATGGTCCCTGATTTATAGATAGAAGAGAATGACGAACTCTAACATGACTGCAATTTTTTTCTCATTAATTTATCTATTCACTTGACTGCAAGTTTTTAAACAGAGGATGTTGAGGAAATAGCACTACAGCTGTTACTAGAAATACAGAGCTCATAAAGTTTGGAAGGAAAAGCATTTGATTGATACATGTTAAGTTATAAGGTCTAAATGCAGTTTTAAATAGTCTAGTCTGTGGGTAAATAGAATTTTTTTAAGTCTAGGACTAGCAAGATGATTCAGTGCCATTAAATGCCATTAAACTTGAGAGTCAGAGTTCAGTCCCTGGAACTCACAGGGTGGAAGGAGAAAACTAAATCTCCTAAGTTTTTCTCTGACTTCCACACATGCCATGGCATACATGTGCACATGCACACACTAGAGAGAGATATAGATAGATGATAGATAGATAGATAGATAGATAGATAGATAGATAGATAGATAGACAGACGATAGATAAATGATAGATAGAGAGAGAGATTATAGATTAAGACATTTAAGATTAGAATTTTAAAGGTTGGACTAGAGAATGGCAAATATTAGAATAATATTGCTTGATAAATTTAATATTTAGCTTCAAAGAGAAGACTTCTTTCAATTCTTGGCAGAAAAAGAAAAGAAAGCCATGTGGAAGCAGACTTTTGGAGAAAGTACTCCTGTTGAAAGAGTAAGCAAAAGCAGGTTGTTAGCCAGAAAGGAACAGAAGTGGTCTGAAGAAAAAGAAAGTGCAGATATGGTGTCCTGTTATAAAAACAAAAGAAGAAAATTGCAAGTAGGGACATATAGTTAAATATTTCAATAGGTTTCTTCATGTACCAAGTCAAAATGAATGGTACTTTTAAATAACTAGACGAGTACTTGGATCTAAATCCTTGATGTAGAAAGTGGAGGTTTATCAACTGTTCAAATATAGCAATGTCGTTTTCAAAATTGCTATTACTGCATTGTTCAAGTTGAGTCTAAAATAGCAATAGTAGAATTTCTTAGTGTGCATGTAGAATTACAGTAAGATAACTCATACACAGAAATTAGCTTAGAGCTAGATACTAGCAGACGTGCTAAATGTTGGCCTCTGGTGTACAAGTAAACGTTATCTGCTTTCTATGCTTTGTCAGGGAGAAAGAACATTTCATTTTGCAGGAGATACAGTTGGAGCAAGAGTTGACAAAATATGGCTGGTAGGCCTAATACTGGCCATTTTTACATAGCAAACAAGCAAAGAATGTTTTTAATGTTTTTAAATATTTGGGGGAAATATGCAATACACTACTTTGTGACACAAATTCAAGTTTCATTGCCCATAAATAAACTTTTATTAGAACACAGGCACATTCATTCACTTATGATCTGTGTTTTACAAAGTGTAGTTTGGTGTGTGTGCATGCATGTGTTGCCAAAATGTGTGGCTATCTGTGGCCAGGCATAGTGGCACACTCGTAATCCAAGCATTAGAGAGGCTGAGATAAGATTACCAGATCAAAGCCAGTCTGGATTGTGTCTTGGGACATTGTCTTGAAAAAGAGAAGGAGAGAACAAAGCTGGTAGAGTTCTTGTTACTTTGTTTGACATCCTGAAATAATTGAGTTTGCATGTAGGGAAATGTGAACCAAGTATAATGTTGAAGAAAATTAACTACAAGATGTACCAGGAGTATTTTAAAGAAGTGGTCTTCTAGCACCACGACATTGTAAATGAAGTTCTGTTACCTACAGATGTTACCAGATTTTGACCATGTATGCAAATGATTTTTCTTTTTAATTAGCAATACCTTGCTGTATTTAGTTGATATATTCTCTTCTCTGCACATTGAACGTTAAACTTCTGGAATTGAAAAGGTGAAGTTAATAAAGTGAATTATTTAAGGATGGTAATTAGTGTATTTTTAATATTGCTGCAAAACTCTGAAAGTAGAGCAATTGTTTATGTATAAAAATAACTAAAATGTTGAAATTAAGGTTTATTAGGAAAATTAAACAGTAAATTTAAAATTAATGCTATTTAAAAATATTGCTAAATTTACTTAGCAAATATCAGTTATTAAATTTTCACCTAGGGTGTATAAATCATTAAACAAAATTCATATGCAGTAATTTGTTCGCCCCTAACTATATTGCTCTGTGTGCCAGTAACTGGTTTAGAATTTCCTTCATTCGTTTCTTCCCAATTACTACTTGCTGAAACTAGAATTTGTTTTAGTGGCTTTCGAAGGTTAGACCATCACACAATTACTAGACGTTAGTTTATTATAGAGTTGAAATATAGGAAAAATGTTGTTGTTGTTGTGTTTTCTTTTAACTCACTTTCTGTTTTCATACTTTCAATCTGTATCTCTTGACCTGTCTTATTTTAATTGGCTTTAGTTTGATTTCATTGCTTCTCTCATGCCTGTGGAGTCAGTAGATCCTGCATCATGGAGGCAGGGCTTGCGCAAAACTGGCATTGTGCTGGTGCCCAGTAAGGGCGAAAAATCTATGGTGAGGCATTTCTTCGTGCAAGAATGTATATTGGGTTACAGCATAACAAGCTTCATATGAGTGCTGGCTCCAAAGACGCATGGTTTAGGTTCTCATGGTGTGCTCATTTTTTTCTGTATCTGCATCATAATTTTCTGTGTGATATGAAGTGTGTAGTGTGTTTTTATAAATCTAACCTCTAGAAAGGTGGTCTATTTACTCTTTAAGGTTTACATTTTTATGTTTTTGCTGTAAGTCATTAACCTTATAAATGTGTTTTCTCTGAAACTATCACTTAAATTTTTAGACACTATCTGTAAATTATTTCTAAATTAAGAAATGATTGGTTTTGATAACTTGTTGTTTTTATTCTTTATGAAATAAAAACAGTTTCCAACTTCAACTACAAAAATTTCTCCCAAAGAAGAAGAAAGAAAAGATGAGTCTCCTGCATCTTGGAGACTAGGACTTAGAAAGACTGGTAGTTATGGTGCGTTGGCTGAAATCACCGCGTCTAAAGAGGCCCAGAAGGAGAAAGACACTGCAGGTGTGATACGCTCAGCATCAAGTCCGAGACTTTCCTCCTCTTTGGACAATAAAGAAAAGGTAATCTGTTTCATAATCTGGTTTCAGTAAAATTTAAATGCTTTTCAAGGAACATAACATCTACAGATCTGGTAGATTTTCTGCTGAGCATCATTATATCCTGGCTATTAATTTACTTTACCAGCTTTATAATATAGAATGTACTTGTCTTGTGAGTGCCTGGAAGATCAGTTGTGTTTGCTTAAAACATGTAATTTGGGGAGAATGCTAAAATCTTTTAAAATTTCTTTTTAAAAGAAATTTAAAATTCTTTTTTAGTTTTTTATTAAACTGCAAATAAAAGGACCCTGAGATTTCACCTTACACCCATTAGAATGTCAAAGATCAAAAACTCAAGTGACAACACATGCTGGAGAGAATGTGGAGAAAGAGGAACCCCTCTCCATTGCTGGTGGGAATATAAACTTGTACAGGCACTTTAGAAATTAATCTGGCGCTTTCTCAGACAAATAGAAATAGTGCTACCTCAAGACCCAGCTATACCACTCCTAGGCAGATATCCAAAAGATGCTCAAGTATACAACAAGGACATTTGCTCAACCATGTTCTTAGCAGCTTTATTTGTAACAGCCAGAAGCTGGAAACAACCCAGTTGTCCCTCAGTTAGGGAATGGATACAGAAATTATGGTACATTTACTCAGCAATTAAAAACAAGGAAATCATGAAATTTGCAGGCAAATGGTGGGATCTAGAGAAGATCATCCTGAGTGAGGTATCCCAGAAGCAGAAAGATACACATGATATATATTCACTTATAAGTGGATATTAGACATATATTATAGGATAATCATACTGAAATCTATACACCTAAGGAAGCTAAGCAAGAAGGAGGATCCTGGGTGAGATGCTCAATCCTCATTCAGAAAGGCAAATGAGACAAACATCAGAGGAGGGAGAAGGCAGGAAACAGGACAGGAGCCTATCACGGACAGCCTCTGAAAGACTCCACCCAGCAGGGTATTAAAACATATGCTGAGATATATAGCCAAACTTTTTGCAGAGTGCAGGGAATCTTATGAAAGAAGGGGGAGCTAGAAAGACCTGGAGGGAACAGTAGCTCCACGAGGGGAGCAACAGAACCAAAAAGTCTGGGCACAGGGTCTTTTCTGAGACTGATACTCTGAACAAGGACCATGTGTTGAGATAACTTGGAACCCCTGCACAGAAGTAGCCCAAGGCAGCTCAGTATCCAAGAGGGCTCCCCAATAATAGGACCAGGGACCATCTCTGACATGAACTCATGGGCTGGTTCTTGGATCACCTCCACCTGAGGGGGGAGCAACCTTGCCAGTCCACAGGGGATGGCAGTCCTGATGAGACCTGATAGACTATGGTCAGATGGAAGGGGAAGACCTAACATTGGACTGGGGGAAGGGCATAGGAGAAGGAGTGTGTGGGAAGGGATAAGGGAAGGGGCTACAGCTGGGATACAAAGTGAATAAACTGTAATTTAATAAAATAAAAAAATATATAAAAAATTCATTAATTTGATGTGATATGCATGAATTTTTTTAGTTTTGGTTGGTTTTTTTGGGGGGGGGGCTTTTTTGGGTTTTTTTTGTTTTTTGCTTGTGTGCATGTATGTGTAGCACATAAGTACCTAATACTCATAGAAATACTAATAGAAGTCAGAAGTGGATGTTGGATTCCCTGGGACTGGAGTGACAGATGGTTGTGGGTCAACTGATTTTCTGCAGGAACATTGAGTATCTTTAACCACTGAGCCATCTCTCCAGTGTCCAAAAGCCTACTTTTTGTACTAGAACGTACTAGAGAATGAACACTTGTTTTAGTTATTATTGAATAGATTTCCCAGAGTTAAGGAGTGCAAATTTTTATAGCATGTGAGCATGATCGAGTTATAATTCAATCATCATCTGCAATTGGTAGGCCAGTTTTTCGATCTGGTACAAGTGTCTGTCTTAATGAGTGGTTTTAACTATATTTTGAAAGACAGTGCAAAAATTGGGTACAATCAAAATTGCTTTCTTACTGAATTAATCTATGATTGGACTTCTTATGTTTTTTTCAATACAGTTTTCTTTTTCAGAGTGTTACCTTGCCTTACATTTTCTAATACGAAGTTTCATTTTTGTTCACTTTAATGATTTTTGCATTTTTATACCTCTATTGGCCACTTTTTCCAAGTATATGATAGTGTGTCAGTGTCACTAATACTACATACCACATATTGAAGTAATATGATTTACATAGTGTTTGATATTTTAATATTCTAAAGCATAGATTGTCATACTTGTAAACAGCTTATATAACATAAGTGACTCCTTGTTGAACTATATTCGAACTTTACTTCTTCGAAAAAAATAAATGTACTTTAACTTCTCATGCTACCTTTAGTATAAATATTAGGAAAAAGTCATTAATGTGGAATTTTTCTTCCTTTCTTGGAGTAAATTATTTTCTAATTTTATCCTAAGAAGAATGAAAAGAACACTGGTTGAGCTAGCCTTTCTTCATTGCTTTTATAGTACCTGGTTGACTTGTATCAGTTTTACAGTTCAGGAACTAAGCTCTGAAAATACTGCACCGTAAATTGTGTGGTCATCTAAGGATATGCTGTTGAAAAGCTGTTCTTGATATTTTCATCACACTTTTTTCATGCATTCTGTTTGCTGTTGCCAGGAGAGAGATAGTAAAGGAACAAGACTTGCGTATGTTGCACCTACAATCCCGAGGCGCCTAGCCAGTACATCTGACATCGAAGAGAAAGAGAACAGGTGAGTGCAGTGGGAGATAATAGCAAGCATGATTCTCTGCAGTCTTTACTGATTTGTTAGGATGTGAGGACTGTAATTATGTGAGATAGAGGTTTCAGGAAGAGTTATAACCATGTCCTGGAAGAGCACCAGTTACATAGTCCTGAGGGACAAGGATGTACAGGCTTAGCGTGTTCATAAATGGTAAGCAAGGAATTGCTGCTAAGCCAGAGAACGATGAAAGTTGCAAAAAGGACACACTAAAACATTTAGAAGAGGGAAAAGCCAGGTGGGTCCCAGTACCTATTGGGCGGGACAGAGTCAAGTAGTTCTAAGTTCAAGGCCAGCCCAGTCTACAGAGCAAGTTCTGGAATAGCCATGCCTATAGAGAGAAACCCTGACTCTGAAAAATGGGGCAGTGGGGACCCCATGCCTGATTACTCAGTGGTTTCTTTCTTGTGGGTTTTTTATTATTATTATTTTATATTTTTTAGTATACAGAGTTTGAAAATTTTTTATATTTGTAGTCATGCTTTAGTGTCTAATTGTGTACTTTCATTTTTTACCTGACATTTTATATATTGTGTATGTTCTCAATATTATTTTTAATACTAATATACCATATAGTATGTCTATATGTCTGACCCATGCGGTGGATCACAGTAGTCTATCTCATAAATAATATGCTTGTAAATGCTTTTATTTAGGGCTACACACTGGCTCTTAGAACTAAAATTACTTCTACGTTTTGGTAAATATCCCAAAGTGTTCTGTGGGATTTTACTCATATCTACTCCTGTTTACTAGTATATGGCTTCCTTAAGTTTATTCTAAAATTGCTGACAAGGATCTGAAGGATATTCTTTTCACAGAGACTCTTCCAGTTTGCGAACAAGTAGTTCTTACACAAGAAGAAAATGGGAAGATGATCTTAAGAAGAATAGTTCAATCAATGAAGGATCCACTTACCATAGAAGGTAATGATGTAATTTGTAGTCTTCTCTGTGTTCTTAAAAAACAGCCCTCAATTTAACATCAGTTATGCAGATCTCTTCTTTTAACTGTTATATCTTGTTTTCTGTGTTTAATTTAGTTTAGAGGCATGGTATATATTTAAAGATGGTGTGGATTTGCTGTAACTTATCCTCTGCATAAATATTTAATTAAGCTTGTTATATTATGAAATATCTTTCAGCACTTCTAAAGGAAGTTCTTATGATTGACTAAATCAGCTGAAATGGATCAGTGTCATAATTGATGTAGCCATTGTATATGATCATGAACATTTGTTTGGACTCAGAGCCAAGAAAACATTTCAGTTTAGAAATGTTGTTATATCAGAGAGAAGGAAACAAAGAATAAGATGTGAATACAGACAATATAGATATGGGTCCTAAAGATGTAACTCATTACTAAAAAGTTTTCTTCGGGCTTGTCAAGTACATTATTTTCCGTGAATGAATCCACTCCTCGTTTTTTGTTAGGACCACTTGCCATGACCATTTATGGTCTAGCATATTCTGAAAATGTGCCATGTTGACTGATATTGAAGGCACTGGGAGGAGGAGGCATAAAATTCTACACTCTCAAATCAAAGAAATTAATCTATACTCTAGCAGGTTGTAGATGCAACTCTTGGTGCTGGAGCTGGTGGTATAATGAGGAACACAGTTTGTTTCCTACTGTGTGAAACTAGTGTCTCAGATAGTGACTATAGAATACACATAAAGACGCATCCTATACAGAAATGACTCTTTCCTTTAGTTACTCCTTTGGTAGAAGACAAGATGATTTGGTTAGTTCTAGTGTTCCAAGCACCGCATCAACACCAACAGTTACCTCTGCAGCTGAGCTTCAGAAGAGCCTCCTTTCCAGCACGAGCGCGCCTGCAAAGACTCCCGTGGGCTCTTCCTCCGTAGGCGCGCAGAGCAGGTGAGCCACGGAGACGGTCTGTCCAGCTCTACTGTGCGCTTGTGTACGTGCATGCATCATTGTGTAGGAGAATGTGGGCTCTGGATTTTTTTATTTACCCTGCTAAAATTGCTCTTAAGCAAAAATTGCTTCCAAAAACAAGCAATTATGCATGTGTTGGGGGAAAAAAAATCTAAGATCTTAAATTATATTGCTTAAAATAAAAATTTCCTCCTTTGATAGCTCTGGTTGAGCTGTTTGATTACTAATTTGAAAAAAGTCTCATCCTGTGTTTTTAAAAAATCCATCCCTGTTGTCACATGTTTTCAGCTTCTAGAAATTGCTTTCGTTGTTTAGCTGTTTTCCTTTTCTCTTTTTGTGTTGCTGCTTATGGTGCTATAGTACCTCAAATCGTTTGTGGGCTGAGGATAGTACTGAGAAAGAAAAGGACAGTGCTCCTACCGCAGTGACCATTCCTGTTGCTCCAACTGTTGTAAATGCTGCAGCTTCTACCACAACCCTGACTACAACTACTGCTGGCACTGTTTCCTCCACATCAGAGGTCAGGGAGAGACGCAGGTGTGTAAAGGTCTTAGTACTCGTTCGCCAAATGCTTGCTCAGTTTTTGGTATTTTGTGTTCTTTGCTTGTTTGTTTTGTTATTCTCAGAAATTTGATGTATATGTATACGTTAGTTACTTTTCTGTTGCTGTGATAAAACACCAAGACCAAGGCAGCTTATAGAAGAGGGGGTTTTGCTTATGGTTCCAGAGGGTTAGAGTCCATAATGGGTGGGTGAAGGCAGCTAGAGCCACTAGAATGTGGCTAGAGCATGATGCTGAGAGTTCCTTACATCTTGAACTGCAGCACAGCACAGCGGGAGGAAGCACTGAGAATGGCAGATGGCTTTGAAATCTCAGAGCCTACCCCCAGTTACATACTTCTTGCAACAAGGTCACACTTCCAAAGCCGCCTCAAGCAGTTCTACCATCTGGGGACTGAGTGTTTGTATTATTGGTCATAAGGGAGACATTCTCATTCAAACCACCACAATGACCATTTCTCTTCATAAGCTAAACTAATAAATAAGATACCATGTATCGACTCTGGCCTAGGTAAATGGACATTGCTAGCAGTTATTAGCGATTAGGCTTATTGGCCCATGTCTGAAAGACTTGTTGCAATCAGTTGAAGAAATCAAAGGCAAAGCCAGACAACTGTCTTCTGTGTGTGTGTGTGTGTGTGTGTGTGTGTACGCATGTATGTGTGATGAAGACCTAAAGATACTTAGGAAAAATTATATGCAACATACTAAGATTTATTGTTTTTGTTACAAAGAAAATAGATGTATTTTAAATAGTTTTGGTTTTAATTTTCATCATAAGATCATTGGCTGGCACTGTAGCTTAGTGGTAGCCATTGCTGTACCTGCCAAACCTGGGTTCACTCTTCTCTCTTCCTCTTTCATCTCCCTTTCCTGATCTTTCTCTTCATCTTTCTTCCCAATTCTTTCACCCCTCCATCCCCTTACTTTTCTCTCCTCCTTTCTTCTGCTTCCTTCTTCCTGTTTCTTTTTCATTAGGAGTCACACAAGGGCTTCCATCTACCACTGAGTTATACTAGAGACACTTTTTTTTTTTTTTGAGACAAGGTTTCTCTGTATAGCCTTGACTGCCCTGAAACTCACTCTGTAGACTCACTCTGTCTGCCCTTGAACTCACAAAGATAAACCCGCCTCTGCCTTCATAAAAACGTGAGTTTGTCCTGAAGGCTCCACTAGTGAGATACAGGCAATGCTCTTTGGTTGCTGGAAATTGCCAAAATGTGTCTTTTGACCTTGTTTCAGTTCCATATTTCTAGAGAGTTTGTCTTATTTCAGTGATACTTAAAGTGATTTTAATGTCTGGACTTCTTTCACACAAAATAATTAAAAGTTTTAATGCAGCCGGGTAGTCATGGTGCAAGCCTTTAATCCCAGCACTCAAGGAGGCAAAGGCACGTGGATGTCTGTGAGATTAAGGCCAGCCTGGTCTACAGAGTGAGTTTCAGGACAGCTAGGGCTACACAGAGAAACCCTGTCTCAAAAAACAAAAACAAAACAAACAAAAGATTTCAAAAAAAAATTTAATGCATTGTTAACCTTTTCTGGTTATCTTTTAATTAAATTCCGCCAGTGGGTCTGAAATGTCTTTAGTTATTTACCTTAAAATATGTACACAATTACATTAATGGGCAGGGCTAGAAGTTTGGCTCAGTGATAGAATACTTGTTAGCATGTGTGAGGTCCTGGGTGTGGTCAGTAGTGCTAGAAAAAAAAAAAACATAAATTGTTACTGAAAAAACAAATCAATACATTTATCCCATTAAGTACTTTGAATATACACTTTAATATGAAATTATGTAGCACACTGTTAAATTATTCTAGTTGATCATGATTGTATCCAATGTCCTTTTTTTTTAAAGCTAAAAATGCCAATTCATTAATTTGTTAATTTGTTTATGGGTGGGTGGGGATAGTGTATGTCTGCAGGTGCAGCCATAGTTGTGCACATAGACACCTTTCTACTTGCTTTTTTGAGATAGAGTCTTTCAGGGAACATGCTCTATCTTCCAGCATCTGCCTCTCTCAGCCCTCAAGGCTGGAGTTAGAAGCAGGTGCAGCCATGCCCAGCTTTTATGTGGGAGCCAAGGATCTGAACTAAGGCCATCATGCTTACACCACAAGAATGCTAACCCATGAGTCATCTTTACACCTGCCTGATAAATCAATTTTTGTTTGAAAGGAGAGAAAAGCTAACATCGACACAATAGAATATGATAGGAACTTATTTCATTGTAAGAGCTTGTTATTTACATGTCTTATAATTAATCCCATAGTTTACATGGAACTGTTCTTTAGTATAATTATTCTCTTCCACCATTTCTCATAGCTCTCATTTGTCTTTTTATATTTTCTCTGAGCTAGACGTGGTATATCATAACTGTTACTCTAGCCCCTAGAGGCTGAGACAGAAAAGTCACAAGATCAAGGCCAGTCTGGAATTACATAGTCCAGTCTGGACTGTATAGTAAAACTATATTTTAAAAAAAAAAAAAAAAAAACAGTGTGAAATAAGAAGGATGTTACATAGCTTAGTTGACAATTAAATATCATTATAAGCAAATACACTGTTTCAACAAACAAATATCTGTAAAATAACATTTGTAGAATAAATCATTAGGAAAAATGTTTATTTAAAAAGAAAAACTTTTATTTGATTAATAGGCCAGGGTGTTATGCTAATTCGAGACATATTGCACAGAAAATTAAAGTATACAGATTTTACAAGCCTTTCAACTAGTAGCTTATCTCCTTAACCTGCATATGTTAAACAGTTATGAGAAAGTAACAGTCATGGAAGTGAATTTACAAAAGAATCCAGGCTTATTCGAACACAGGCTAGGATGACAGGTTAGTGCTCTTTTCCATGGGGGTAAAATAAATAGTGGAGTGGGACTGGCGATATGGCTCAGTGGATAAAAGGCTTGCTGCATAAGCATGAGGATTAGAAATTAGATCCCCAGGAGTCACGTAAATACCAAGTGGTTGTGGCAAGGTAGCTAGCTCAGTTAGCTATAACCAGCAAGCTCTGGGTTGAGAGACCCTACTTCAGTAAGTTGGAACACAAATGAGGAAGGCTGCTGATGTCAACCTCAGGCCTTCACATGCACCTACACACATATGTATTCATATAAACATTCTGTTCCCCTCACATACACACAAACAGCACACGTCTACACATGAGACAGAGAAAATAAAGAGGATTTTTCCTACAGAGCTGAATTCAGAACTCAGTAGCCCATGTTCATACTTACAAAGCAGCTCATGAGGGGCTGAAGTGATGGCTGTAGCCATCTTACACTTAAACTAGACAAGCTCTCACTTTGGATTTCATCTTTTCTTTTTTTTATCTAGTAGAATCTACAAAGGGCCAGGGCCAGTATGTGCAAAAATAAGGAAGGAAGAAAATAAATATATTTCCAGGAGCATCAATCAACACTTAGTGGATGTGCCGCACAAAAAGAAAGGAAAAAGAAGGAAAGAAGTCCTTTATTTAAATAATTTTGGTAAATGCAAGTTACATCCTTTACTACATTGTAACTTGTGGTTAACACGATTGTCCTAGAGAAGATGATAAAATTAAATCCTATGATAAACCAGAATGATGTATTTTAAACTTTAATACCAAGATTATTGGGTCTTCTCTTCTTCCTGTCAAGTCCTTTGGCGTAGAAAATTCTGTATAATTGTTATGAAAAGGGGAAATCTCTTATATCTATATAAAAAACAGAGAATTAAGACAAGTAAAATTTGAGAATTTAAGTCAGAACTAGTATTCTGGTGAGATTTGGTAAAAAAGCATTCTTCTGTCATAGCTAGAAAAATGGCTTAGTTGGAAGAGCACTGGCTGCTCTTCCAGAGGACCCTGGTTCAATTTCCAGTACCCACATGGCAGCTCACAACTATCTAAATTTCAGTTCTGGGCCTCTGACACCCTCCCACAAACATACATGCAGGCAAAAAAAGCAATAAACATAAAATAAAAAATTTAAAAAATTCTTCTATGAAATGCTTCAGTTACAGGTGTCCCTCAAGATAGACATAATGCTGCTGTGACAGCAAAAAGTCATCTTTCAGGATTCTAACAATGTCAAGGTGAAAACTATGGACAGCATAGGTGTTAAGAGGAACTGAAACAGAACAAAAACAATAAACAATTACTTCTTTCTGACCAACATGTGATACTCAGCTAGATGAGGATATACAGTATTTTGTGAAACCAGGCTTTTTTACTTAGGCTTTCTAGTGCAGTGAAAACATCATGACTAAAAGCGGCTTGGGATGGGAAAGGTTTACAGCTTGTAGTCTACTGTCTAAGGCAGTTAGGGCAGGAACTTGGGGTAGGAACCTGGAACAGCAGCTAATACAGGGGTCATGGAGGAATGCTGCTTACTGGCTTGCTTTCTCATAGCACCCAGGACCACCACCCACAGTGAGCTTGGCATCTCACATGAATCATTAATGGAGAAAATTCACCACGGGCTTGCCCACAGCCACATCTTGTTTGGGTGTTCTCAGTTGACGTTCCCTCCCCAAATGACTGATGTGTCAAGTTGACATAACTAGCTAGCATTGAGACCATTTAAAAATAAAAATAAAAAAAAGCTTAAGATGAGATCATTGTTATAGTATAATTTTTCTTGTCTGTAAATTTGTTAAGTGTCCCACTGAAGGAAAAAACCGTTTTTTAACTTTCCTAAGTCAGTTGCTGAAACCATAGAGGCAACAAATAAACCAGTCCTCACCCTGGTTCAAACCATTGTATTTTACCTAACTGCTGAGATTGAAGCCGCTGATGAGAAATAAATTCGTCATCTGCCAGTTATCTAAGGAAGCAGATATTGAGAACAGCGAATCCTATAATCCAGTCTTAGTAGCCTTCAGAAACAGTAACTGTCGATGATTGTAGGAGTGTGGATATTTGCTACTAGGTTCCCTGGAGTTTGGAGGGCTTGTGTAAGAAATACAAACAGCATAAAGCCAGTAATGGACTCTGAAGCTCACTGTGCTGTAGTGAGCAGTGTTGGGTCACAGAGCAGAGTGAGTGCTAACTGACAAAGCCCTTTGAAAGGAAAACTGACCAGACCATTAACTGGGTTTTAGAGCAATGGGATGCACTAAACTTCACATAGAAAATAGAGGATTCTGTAATGTGTTCAGTCAAAGGTGAGTTCAGTGCTAAATAGTGTTCATGATTGAACTCTCCAAGTAATATTGGCTACTAGAGGCAAATCTTCATCTCCTTTTGGTATTATTCAGTTCTTGATCAGAATGTGAACAAGAATATGATTTGTCCTCAGTGTCTCCATAGCAATACAAATGTTCTGACATTTACTGTAACTTTAAGTTAGACATCTTCACATGTCATCTAAGACTGTTAAAAGCAAACAAAAACAGGCCAAAAGGGAACATTTAAGGAATTTGGAGTCATGTTTGGAAAGGAAGATGTACTTAAAAATATTTTAGGTATAGAAAAGCTAAAACCCTCCCTCCTGCCCTTGTTTGTTTGGTTTGGTTTGACTTGGTATTTTGAGACAGTGTTTCTCTATGTAGCCCTGGCTGTAGACCAGACTGGCCTCAAACTCACAGAGATCCCCCTGCCTCTACCTCTACTCCTGAATGTGGGTGTGTGCCACTGCTTACTGCCCCTTCCCTTCCCTTTTTTATATAATAAAAAAATAATAGGATGTGATCTATTAAATGTACAGTACTAATAAGTAGATTTATGGGATAATAGAAAAGTTACATGGAATGAGTTGTTTCTTGGTAGAGGTTAGCTTCACCCTGTCTAATCCTGTGAATTGGCCTCTTGCTAATGAGATATTATGTGTCTTTATCTCTTTCAGATAGAACAAAACATTAAAATCTTTAGTTCTCTGGTTTCTTTTTTTTTTTTTAATGAAGTTACATTTTTTTTTAAATTAAGACCATTAAATATAGTAAGGAAGAAATGTTATATTAAGTTTAATTGGTTCCTGTTTAGAAAGAAATGGTCATGGGCTAAAGAGCTTACTTAGTGCTTCCAGAGGGCCAGATTCAGTTCCCAGCACCCACATAGGGGTTCATAGCTGTCTGTAACTCTAGTTCCAAGGAAAACCCCTGGTCTTTGTGGGATCAGGCAGGCAAGTAGTACAGACATACATGCAGGTAAAGTACCCATACTCATAAAATTAAATAAGAAGAATGGTCATGTTTTATTTAATAAATTTCAAAGCAGGTATAGACATTTTATAAAGATTTTTTTAACCCATTAAACACTGTGCTAGCTTGTTTTAATTGCAAACATTGATAAATATTTCTATTCATAAATATTGAACCTCCAAATAACAACTTTTATTTATTACTATAGGTCATACCTCACTCCTGTTAGGGATGAAGAGTCTGAATCCCAAAGAAAAGCAAGATCAAGACAAGCAAGGCAGTCTAGAAGGTCAACACAGGTATACCTAATGTGTATAATAAAGAGAACAACTACATACTTAATAATGACATTTTCGTTTTCACTTGCTGTGTGAATAGATCAGAAGAGATAAAGGTTGTGGTAATCTTCCATAGCTTTTGTATATAAAGTTATGCTTTTGGTATCCCATTACATCTAATTAATAGTATCCTTTGTCCCTTTGAGTGTTGGTTTTTAATCCCCTATTTCTAGTTTGGTTTTTGGCAGAGTATTTATAAGTGTTAAAATGAATTAATTATATGATGCCTTTATTTTGGTTGTTTGTTTTGTTTTTTTTTTTGTTTTTTGGTTTGGTTTGGTTTGTTGGTTTTTTTGAGACAAGGTTTCTTGGTGTAGCCCTGATTGTCCTGGAGCTCACGCTGTAGACCAACCTGGCCTCGAACTTGGAGATCCTCTCGGCCTCAGCCTCCTGAGTACTGGGATTAAAGGTGTGCACCACCCTCTTCCCAACCATATGATACTTTATAATTATGAAAGTCTTATGCATACATAGAGGTGAAGGAATGAAGAATAGGCCTAGTGTTCAATATAGAAAACCGCAAACAGGCAAATATAAGAACATTATCTCTCAGGATAGTTACTGTCTTACTTCCAACTCATTCTAACTGATAGTTGCCTCTCAACTGATAGTTGAGCTCTGTCCTATGGATTCAGCTGTTTGAACTTTACCGTTACTTGCCTATCAAAGCATTATGTTTGTTGTCTTAAGCTACTTTTCCCATCTAACTGGTTTTCATGGGTCTAACCTGAAAGCATTACTTACTTTTTGAAAATTTTGTCAACTCTCCAGTTAATGTGTGAAAATGAGTTCCTATAATATATTATATCGATTGGCTCTTCCTCTTCTCAAATTAGAAACATTTATTAAAATTTTTCTATTTTTCTTAATATTTTGTTAGTTTATGAATATAGACAGTTTCTTATCTATAGTTATAACTTTCCCAATTCCTATCATTGTTTTTATTCATAAAATGAATGTGATTTGCTGTGTAAAAATTATGTTTGTATTTGATGTATCAGCTTGTAAAGTATTCTTTTTAAATGAGAGTTAATGTGTCTCACAATTTGTGCCTTTTTGGTGTGCAGGGAGTAACACTGACTGATCTTCAAGAAGCTGAAAAAACAATAGGAAGAAGTCGTTCTACAAGAACCAGAGAACAAGAAAATGAAGAAAAAGAAAAAGAGGAAAAAGAAAAACAGGATAAAGAGAAACAAGAAGAAAAGAAGGAGTCAGAAACATCTAGAGAAGATGAATATAAACAAAAGTATTCCAGAACATATGATGAGGTAATACTGTGGGCAGCACAGCTGAGTCATGGTATGTGGTTCTTACGGTCCTGAGTATGCTGTATGTATGGCCTATACATAATAAACAGTGTATGAAACACATGGAGACTTGGACTGGAATCTGAATGGCTTTAGCATTAGAATAGTACTTGTTCTTTGAAATTAGTTTTGTGTCTTGTATATCTTTACTGTATTCAAGATTTAAAATGGGTTTTGATTTTAATGTTTCACAGACATATGCACGTTACAGACCAGTGTCAACGTCAAGTTCAACCACTCCATCGTCCTCTTCACTCTCTACTATAAGCAGTTCACTCTATGCTTCAAGCCAACTAAACAGGCCAAATAGCCTTGTAGGGATAACTTCTGCCTACTCCCGGGGAGTAACAAAAGAAAATGAAAGAGGTAAGAAGTCAGGTAATTTCAAGTAATCCTTTGAGCTATGTTTCCCTAATTGGTAGTGCAACCAAAGGACATCTGATTTACTGAGCAGGAACAAACACAGTTAAAAGCTCTTAATATGCTTATAGTACAGAAGCCATTTGCAGAGAAGAAACACAAATCTTAACATTAAGATGTTTATATTATATAGAGAGAATTTGTTCTTGTGATTCTTAAAAATGTATATGGGAGATTGAAATGGGTGTTTATACCAAATATACAGGAGTATTGGTAAAGGCAAAAAAAAATTTTTTTTAATTGGCTAAATGTAAGCTTCACAGAAGAGGCAAACCTAGAATTGAACTCTGATTTTTTTTTTACATTTATTTATTTTGTATGTGCTGGGTGAGGGTATGTGTGAGTCTGATGGTATGCCTGTGGAGGTCAGAGGACAACTTGTCAGAATATGTTCTTTCCTTCTACCATGTGGGTCCCCCGGCTTGGCTGCAATTGAAGCAAGCATCTAGCCAGGACTACAATTGTTTTGACATATGCTTGTAAAGACATTGTGAGGATAAATTGCAATCATGTGGTTTATATAATCCGTAATAGAGGGAGAGAAAAAAGAAGAGGAGAAAGAAGGTGAAGATAAATCACAACCTAAGTCAATCAGAGAACGAAGGCGACCTAGAGAAAAAAGACGATCCACTGGAGTTTCCTTCTGGACACAAGATGTGAGTACCTGTTAAAAACACTTGATAGTATACTTACCTGCCAGAAGTGCTCATAATTTCTTATGTCCCTGAGAGTATATGTGTTTTAAATCATCAGTCCATTTACTAAATTTTAAACTGCTTTATGAACACGATCACCAGGAGTTCTGTTCCAATTTTGGGATAATTATAATGGCTTTTGGTTATGGTATATACATTATTTTAAAATGCTAAATAGTCCCTTTCTTCAAAGAAAGATAATTTACATGTTGTACATTTAATTTGACTTGCACATTATAATTGTACCTAAAAGAATCAGTTTTATTTCAAGCGATGCTAGATTACAACAGTCCTTTGAAAAGGAAAGTTGGTCAACCTTGGGTTGTAGGCTAGGGTTGCATCACATTCCAAGCATGTGCAGAGCCCTAGGTTCAGTTCCCAATACCACAAGTAAATTTCTTTTGCTAGATCCCCAATTACAAGCCTAATGTTGCTATTTATTGGCAAATGGAATGGAAGAAATGTGGAGTAGCACTGTTAATGTGAAAACATTCATATTTTAATAAAACATGTAATTTACGGAAGCAAAAAGATTTTAAATGTAAGCCCTTGGTATTTTTTCCATTTCTAACAAACATTTTTTAGTAATTTCTATTCAAAGCTGAGGATCAAATTGGGACTTCATGCATTCTGGGCAAGCAAATGCTTTTTGAGTGACATACGACCTCAAGTCCAAAAAACACTTTTTATTAAAGTATATTTATCCAGACACATAATTATTAAATGTACAGTTTGGTGACAGCATAAAAAGGGCAATACAAAGTCCCTGTATTTTCTCTCAATCTTTTATCATCCTGGTTTTCAAATGTAAGAGCATTAGAATATAACTCTTATTTTGTTTTTGAAGTACATCTGTGCTGTTATATGTAGCAGTATATTTACTTTCCTTGCTCTAAAAAAAATTTTAATTTCTACATTGTTTATATTCTTCCATTGAAAAAACAGAGAAGGTTATCCAGCTGTTGAACTAACCCACATGGCTCCGTGTGTCCGTCCTACATTTAATGGTGTGAGCCTAAAAATCCACCTGTTAAAGGGAGGAAGCTTTCTTCTTAGAATTTTTTTTAATATATCTTTTCAGAATTTTTATTTTTGGTTTCACCAAAACATGTCACAGTCAACTTTTTCTTAAAACTATCTTTTAATTCCAGAGACTTAGTTATCTTCATTTTAGTCTTTATTAACAGCGTGATTACATGGCAGTACAAATAATATTGATATATGCAATTTAAGATATACAAGGAGCTATTATGATACATGAGGGCAGTAATTTAAAATTTTAATATAGAAAATTTTGAACATACATAAAAGTTTCATGCTCTATTTTTACACAGAAAAAAATTTTTAATTCAAAAAGTCTAAAGGTGTTAGATATCTGTGTCTGTTTTTGTAACACAATTTGACAATGTGCTTTAGAGTGATGAAAATGAGCAAGAACGGCAGTCAGATACAGAAGATGGCTCCAACAAGAAGGAGACGCAGGTAAGCAGCATCTGCACAAAGTGTAATTCTAAGGGTTGTGTTTTAACTATGCTCAACTGTGTTTGTTCATTCAAAGTAATTAATGTGTGCTGTGCCTGCAGATAGTGTGGTTAGAAAGCTGCGAGTAGTGTGAATTGTGGCTTGGTTTAGGTTTGGGTGACTTGAATAAGACAGAGAGATATTTTAGAGGTGATTGAAGGAGGGAGTTTTATTGATGTGCAGCAATCATCAGAAAACTTAAACTTTGGAGTTGAACAAGTGAAAAAGAAAGGAATGAACAAGTAAAATTAAAGAAGTATAAAAGTATACTTGACCAAAGAAAAATACCTGAAAAGTACTCTGGAATGACATCCAGAAATCTGGATGTCATAGGCTTATGTTTTATCACTGAAGTTGGCAAAATTGTGATCTAAAGAAAGTCCACCTCTGACTCTCTTTTCATATGTTAGAATTGATTCTACAAAGGATTTTGATATTAATCATACCCTAAATCACACTCCATAGTCAAGGAACACCTGAAGAGAAACCTCCCATCAGTATAGTTGAAGTGTCTTCTCCCTCCCTGCTTTTATACTTCCTCTCATTCACTGCTGGCTATCCAGAATAGTAAAATACTTAATGGCTCTAGTCACACAATAACTGATCTTTGTGGCGGAATTAGCCCTTTATAGCTTTTCATTCCAGCCATGTTAATGTCATTTTCATTTCTGGTGTGGAGTTCCTTTCTAGAGAGCTGTTGCTTTTCCTTAAGCTATCAAAAGTGTGATGAAATACAAAATAACAACTGCTTACCTATATGCTTCTAGGTCAAAAAGACCTATTTTTTCCTCAAAAGATACTTTTGGTCTTTAGGTAAGTAGGTAGACAGCCAACACAAAGAGTAAATTAGGACTGAGTTGAGAAGTTCAACAGGGAAACTCACCTTCCATGTGGGCCTGGTGACCTAAGTTTGATCCTTAGAACCCACAGCATGGAAGGAGAGAACCAACTCCCTTGTTTATCCTCATGTAGCCGCCCCACACAATCGTACAGCATCATTATCGTCATCATCATCATCAAACTTTAATTTAAAAATACATATCAGAAGCCTTAAGGAAATGTTCAGGTATTTAAGCTTATTATTTCCACTTCTAGATATTTATCCCAAGGATGTAAATGACGTGTATAAAAATAAATCTACAGAGAATACATTATTTGTAAAAGAAAACATTGAAAATAGATAAACTAAATGCATGTGCAAATGTTTGTATTATTTGTATTTTATGAATGTTATGTGCAGAATTGTTAACAGTTATTGTCTAGGGATTAGATTAATAGCTGGGAAAGCATAGAAGTCTGTATACTATAGACATGTGAATTTATTATTCAAAAAATGGAAAGGATATTTTTATTTTGAAAAAATTTAAATAGGGAGCAAGGGCATGCTAAATACAGTAAGCAAGACAGAGAAAGACAAATACTATATGGTTCCATTTATTCAGGTATCTAACAATGTCAGACTCACAGAACAGAAAGTCAGATTGTGCTTACCAGGACTGGGAGGAGATAGGAAGAGAAAGGTGATTGGTTGCCTGTTGAATCTCATGGAAATACATTACACTACTACTATATATAATTTAAATTTTTAAGTTAAAAATTATTTACAAAGTAAATTTTTATGGAGTTTGTGGGTCACAGTTTAGCTTAAAAAATAAGCTAGAGTCAGATGGAAGGGGAGGAGGACAAGGAGCAGGGAGGAGATAAGGGACAGAGAGTGGGATTGGGAGGGAATAAGGGAAGGTGATACGGCTGGGATACAAAGTGAATAAAATGTAGTTAATGTAAAAAATAAAAATTTAATTAAGAAAAAGAAAACATAATGGTGACACCATGATTTTTAAAGACAAGTAGAATTTGAGCAGTTTCTAACTGCTAGAGTCTGTGAACAAACTAAATAAAAATAACATATTATTTACATGAACATACTTTGTCTGAATATTTTATATAATTTAATACCTTTACATTTTAAATCTTTAAAACTGAAGGCTTAAGTCAATAAAGTAAACATATTAAGTACTAGGAACAAGGGCAAAATTAATTTTGCAAAAGAAATTTGAGCAGAGTTTAGTAAACCATTTTTAGTGCTGAAAAAGATTTAACAGTTCTAATAGAACACAGTAATTTTAGAACATGTAAAAATTGCAAATAAAGAGTTTTAAGAAACCAATTTTGAAGTTATTTTACAGAAAATTGTAGGTTAAGTGATAGAAGAGGAAAACTAACCTCCCCCCCAAAAAAAATGTATATTCATCCCTGTTTTGATTAAGATTTCTATTTCTGCAGCAAAACACCATTACCAAAAAACAAGTGAGAAAGGGTTTATTTGGCTTACACTTCCACATTGATATTCAATCACCAAAGGAAATCAGGATAGGAATGCAGACTGGGCAGGGTCCTGGAGGCAGTAGCTAATGTAGAGGCCATGGAGGGGTGCTGCTAGCCAGTACAATTCCAATTAAGATTATTTTTACTAGTTGTCATTTCATATAAGAAGAGTTATAGGAACTTCAATGTAGTATGTTACATGCTGGAAATAAACATTTCTTATGGCTTAATTGCTAAGTCTTGGGAAAAAAAAAAAACATAAAGCTAGGTGTTTAGAATTTTAAATACATTGTATATATACTATTCTATAGAAAACTTGATGTCCATTTGGTTGCCTCACATTAATGTCTTTAAAAATAAGAATGAGGAAAGTGGTTGTTCTGAAGTGTCACAAAGTAAGATGGTACTAACTTCACTTTTTCCTGCTGAGTGATAAGAAGACCTTACTTTTCTTCTATTTAAAAAATAATGTGTGCTCAGTTGTACAGGAACTCAACAGGAAATGTTTCCAGATGAAATTGTATGGTTTTATTCATGCAAAAATATACAGTGATCCTGTGTTTTACAATTTCCCTTAAAATGACCATACTAAAAAGAAAGTGAATTATGAATAAGTTTATTTACAGTGTGAAATCATTGTTACATTAGATTGTCTTCATTAATTTCAATTAATAGTTTAATGAATGAATAAAATTTAATGTGCTTTTTGGTTTTTGTTTTTACCTTTTAGACGGATTCTGTTTCTAGGTATGTTTAATTTTTTTTTCCTGATATTTTTTTCTCATTTTTACCTTTAAAGAATGTGTTGCTGGATGTTTATGCACTTTGAAGATTTATAGAATGAAATGGGTAGTAAAAATCTGTAAAACTGTAGATGACCTAGGCTAGTGGGGGATGGCTCAGCAAGTAAGGGGCTTCCTGCCTAATGACCTAAATCAGTCCATGGGACCCACACAGTGGAAGGGGAGAAACAGCTCTCTCAAGTTGTCCTCTGGCTTGTGCATGCATGCATATTATGGCATGTACACACATGCACAAAATAAACAATTTTTGAAAATACATAATTTTTTAAAAATTAAGATGACCTAATCACTATTAGTAGTTTTCTGTGTTAATGGGTATGGTATCACTTTTAACTCATTGGTCATGTAAGTTACTATGAAAAAAGAATTTTCCCAAATCTCTACAATAGTGTTAATTTTTCTTAGGCTTTCCCCATGTTTCCTAAATTATTTCAACATTAACTATCTCATTATTAATATCAGAAAGTGGTAAAAAGCCATACCCAGGACATGTATTGAATTAAGTATTCAATATCTTCTCTTTTAAAAGAAAATGAATGAGTACAGATATTTTTTTCACATCATCTAGCTCAAAATCACTCTATCTTTGATTGTAATTTTGATCCATTTCCATTGCCCACAGCTGGTGACCAAAGTCCTTGTTAAACTAAGAATAAATTTTATATACTGATGATTCTGTTGAACTGAAATGTAAAACAGTATCACTTATCAGAAAAGATAATCTGAATTCATAACCAAATAGCAAACTTATAAACTGTTGTAACGTGATAAAATATGAAATGGTTATTTAAAAATGTAAATAATTTGGCATAATATGAAACTGGCTTTGACTTTTAGATACAGAAATTAGGAATAACTTCCCATTTGTTAAGTGTCCCAAAAATTGATAACTTAAGGAAACTTTTACTTAGTACCTGGAAACATAAAGGTGATACATAATCAGTGTATACTAACAGAATTTGTAAAAGCCTGTAATAACGTTTCTGTTTTCAACTCATCTTTTGAAGGTATGACAGCAGTTCCACATCATCAAGTGATCGGTATGATTCCTTGCTGGGTCGCTCTGGTTCATACAGTTACTTAGAAGAAAGAAAACCTTATAGTAGCAGGCTAGAAAAGGATGACTCAACTGACTTCAAAAAGGTATTTGGGTTATTTAGGTTTTTTTGTTTTGTTTTGTTTTTTTTATATTGTGTGTATGTGCTATTTATATTTTAATACTATTCTGAAAACCTGGCTTAAAAAGAAATCATTATTTTGCAGTAACTTAGTTTCTGAATGGTAGGTAACATGGAAAGAACCTTGTCTTAGAAAAGAGAAGTACCCAGGGCTTTATATCTGTTGTCTCTGTGTTGTTGGGATGAGCTGGAAAGGGTCGTTCAGAAGGGAAGAAGTGTCTGTGTATGCACAGATATAGTTTGTATCATTATCTTTTCATTTGGTTTTTTTTGTTTGTTCTTTACACAGAGTCTTGCTATTTATTTAGCACAGATTGGCCTCAAACTTGCAAGTTACTTCTAAGTAACTTCTAATATTAGTTCTGAATATATGTTTGGTTATTTTTAATGCTTTATTTAGTAATAAGGGGAATCAACATAATTAACAGTGTTTATTGTATTTATTTAAATAATTAGAATATATTTTCAGTACATTCCTTATAGTATACATCTACATTAATTTTTTTTAATTTTAATATTGTAGTCATTGAGGTGCCTTCAGGAGAGCCACAAAGGTAATCTGTTCTTCATTAATTTTTCTAGCTTTATGAACAAATTTTAGCTGAAAATGAAAAGCTGAAGGCACAGCTACATGACACAAATATGGAACTAACAGATCTAAAGTTGCAGTTGGAAAAGGCTACCCAGGTTTGTACCTTTTTCTCTTTGTTATTCTCAAGATAGCAAGGTGATTTAGTATAACTAAAAGCTTATGTCTAATTTTCCTGTAATATTAGTTCTGAACATATGTTTGATTATTTATAATGCTTTATTTAGCAATAAAAAGGAGTCAACGTAAGTAACAGTTAACTGATTCTGGAATATAAAAACAGAAGTATAATCATATAGAAAGATTGCAAGATTGTGTGTGTGTGTGTGTGTGTGTGTGTGTGTGTGTGTGTGTGTGATGCATAAACTCGAAACCTAAAGTAACTAGTATGTGGGGGCTACAGAAATGACTCAGTGTTTAAGAGCTCCGGCTGCTCTTCCAAAGGACTCAGGTTTGATATTATAGGCTCAACATCAGAGTTCTCAGAGTGTCATGACCTTGGGAGATTTAAATGACCCTTTCATAGCAGTCACTTAAGACCAGCAGGAAACACAGATATTTATATTACAGTTCATAACAGTAGCAAAATTACAGTTATGAAGTAGCAATAATCTTATGGTTGGGGGTCACCACAACATGAGGAACTGTATTAAGAGTAAGCATTAGGAAGTCGAGAACCACTGCTCTACATAGTGGCTGGCTCACAGTGACTGTAATTCCAGTCCTTGGGAGCCAATGACCTCTTCTAGCCGCACAGCCACATGGCACACAGAGATACATGCAAAGAAACACACATACATATATATGTATGTAATTTTGTGTATGTTGTGAATAGTTCCTGTTGTTCAAGTAGAAGTTATCTATGGGGCTGGCTCAGCAATTAAGAGTGTTTCCTGCTAATTTGGGGACCCAAGCTCAGTTCCTAACACCCAGATGTCTCACAGCTGCCTGTAACTCCAGCTCCAGGGGATCTGACACCCTCTTCTGATCTCTGGGGGCTTAGAACCATTTCTCTCTCTCTCTCTCTCTATCTATCTATCTATCTATCTATCTATCTATCTATCTATCTATCTATCTATCT